TTCATGAATCTCCAACCCCCCTGCCACATGCAGGGCCACCAACCTCCCCATTTAATACTAGACCAGGCTGCCCAGGGCCCCATCCAGTCTGGCCTTGAACACCTCCAGGTACGGGGCATCCACAGCCTCTCTGGGCAGCCTGTTCCAGCACCTCACCACTCTCTCTGTAAAGAATTTCCCCCTGACATCCAGCCTAAACCTCCCCTCCCTCAACTGAAAACCATTCCCCTTGTCCTGCAGTTATCAACCCTTTCAAAGAGTTGATTCCCCTCCTGTTTGTAGGCTCCCTTTAGGTACTGAATGGCTGCAATGAGGTCACCCCACAGCCTTCTTTTCTCCAGGCTGAGCAAGCCCAGCTCCCTCAGCTTTCTTACAAGCAGAGATTGATCTCAGCCTGGATTTTGTAAATTGCTGAACAGAGGATTCTGGTAGCAGTACTGTACTTTGCATTGTAGTATTAGAATATGTGGTTCTTCTTATTAGCACGAGAAATGTTTGAGAAAAAATATTCATAGATTTCAATTTGTTTTTCAGGATTATAGTATTTAGTGCCTTATTTTTTTGGCTCACATGTTTTCTGAAGTGCTTTTGGCTCTTGGCTAGATCTGAGGCTTCTTCAAATTAGTCATCAGTGTCCTGCAAATTTTTATCAGCCTTCTTTATATACCACTCTTCATACTTACAACTTATTTTCAGTGCTCAACAGTCCAAATCAGGTGCCCCCGAGTAAAAACTACGCAGTGCATTCTTAAAACTTCAGCAGAAAAGATGTCCATAAATTTTGAAACAAGGTGCAAGAATTTAGTCATGCAACTTTGCGGTTTCCTCTGTTTTTTTGTGATTCTTTAGAATCTGTGAGGAAACTTGCATTCTTAAGCAAATGTTTAGAGAGCTCCGATCTACATAGGTATCTCCAAAAGTAATGCCTCCTATTTATTTTCGTGGAAACTACAACAGATACGAAGAGCTCAACAGTGATGTTTTGACAGAGCAAATTCTTAGCTACAAAACACTGATTTTCAGTGTAGTCAGAGTACCATTAGCTATGTATTTTCACCAGCAATGAACTAGAGCTTGTATGCCATTCATGTAAAAATCTGTACTAGCAGAGGTGACCTGCTGTGTCACAGCTGCAGTGATGGTGTTGTTGGTAGGAATATGGACTATGCAGTCCATCTGTTATTATCCCAAATAGATGGAATTCAGGAGGCTCCAAATTTGGACTGTATGGTGTGTGTGGTAGGACCGTCCAACCAAGATTGGCAGTGTGCTCCACGGTCTTCAAACTGAAATGGGGCCTTATGTTAACACGTTGCAAGAAACAGGTTGTCTTCTCTGGTCTGGCTCTGGAAGATCAAGCCTTTGACATAGTCAGCATCATTAAGTAGCAGTTGATAGTTCATCCAGGTTCCAGAAAATTCAGAAGGATCACTCTTCCTATTCCAAAAGACAGTGCACATCACCTTATCCACTGAGAGCTGTGTCTTAAACTTCTTCTTTGTTGGGGAATTCACATTTTGCCACTCCATGGACTGCTCTTTTGCTTCTGGTTCACAGTGGTTACACCACATCTTGTCTCACTGGTGACAATGTGATCTAGAAAACTGTCACCTTAAGCATTGTATTGGTTCATTAGATCTTGACATGGTATTGCGTATGGTGTTCTTTTTCCTACTCTGCAAACAATAGTGGGACCCATTGGGAGCAAACTTTGTGATAGTCCAGTGTTACCACCTTTGCTTCCAGTGCATTGAAGTTAATATTCAGCTCTGTACTCAGTTCCCTTGCCATAATCCATTGATTCATGTGAATAAGCTGATTGAGACGCTCTTCATTCCGGGCTATGCTTGGCCATCCAGAATATGGCTTGTCTTTCATGTTGTTTATACCACTACTGAAAAGTCCCACCCACTGCTTCACTGTGCTCACATCCGCTGTTGGGTCTCCATCAGTGTTCACATGTGTTGATGAATGTCAGAGGGTGCCATGTTTTCTGCATGGAGGAGTTCAGTGGCACACCTTTGCTTCATATGCACTTCCATGTCAGATACCATTTTATCTGCTGCCATCCGCCACATGACTGCAGAATGTAATAGAATATTGGAGGGAAAATTCAACTTCTACTGCCTTATCAGTATCTGCCTCTGATGTTACGGGACAACGTAATAAAAAGGAAGCATTACTTTCAGAGCAGCCCCCACAGTTTCTTTCTAAAAAAAAAACAACAATAAGTCACTATATATAAAAGATGACATTTAGCAAAATATGAAATCATGTTATTAATACTGCCGTCTCAAAATGCATTGATTTATTCTAGCTGAAAGAAGTAGCAGCTAGCCAGGCTCAGTATTAATTAGTTCTGTGTGCTATTTGTCATCTGTTGGATTAATCTGAATTGATTTAAATCACGTTATGTTAATTCTAAGCCATAATGGAAAAAAAGGGAAACAACAGCCAAAGCAACAACAAACAGTGTTTTGCATGTGGAAAACTCATGTTGAAACAAGAGATATGCCATGAAGTAGTGATTTGATATTAAGAACTTTGGGAGAGCTGTACTTAGTGCACTAACAGAGAACTGGATTATCTAAATCATGCAGAGTATTTGAATGAAAGAAACCAAAATTGTATTTTTGTGAATTCTTTTATTTAATACTTGTTTTAAATTGAAGTTTGAGCATATTCTGTTTCCTTAATGCTGTGCTCTGCATTCTTTGCACTGTGTTTAGATCTAGTATTTGTAAATACAATACTACTCAACAAATCACGTTATTTTATAAAATACATTTGTACACAGGCAGTGTACTAAAAACAGGTATGTTGTGAGCTGGTAATGTTTTTATTACAGAATTTGTAAACCCTGAGTATCTAATGGTCCAAATATACTTCACAGTCAGTCTGTTTTCCGCTTTGTTTAATAGCCTATGGCATAAATTGAAGTTAATTATTTGGCCTGACAAGTAACTCTGCTTTCTGTCTGCTTTCAGAGACTCTCCGAGGCAAAGATGGAGCTGAGAAGAAAAGATCAATCTCTGCGTCAGCTCAATAGACTTCTTACGCAGCTGGAGCAGGACAAGCGTCGACTGAAAGAGAGCATCCATGATGCAGAGAGTGCCCTCTGCATGGCAGCAAAGTGAGCGCTGGGACCTTGGGGAGATCACTTAAAACAGACAAAAGATCAATTTTTACTTTCATGCACAGGGTTTTAACTCCAGCTAATGTAATGCTAGAAAACAAAAGTACATCTGTCTCTCTTTGAAATTCAGTGGTAGTTTTCTAAAAAGAAAACTGTTAATCCAACACGCCCGATTTATGTTTTCTGTAGTTAGCTCCTAAAAGTGTTCTGATTTCTAAGTCCTGGAATAGCACAGATATTTTGGAGTGCCAATTATGTTACTGATTTGACAGTGTCTCTTTGGTAGAGCTCTACCACACCATTTAATTAGGAAATGACTGCTAGTTTTCTGCATTTCCAGATCATCTTTTTATAGAATGATACAGTTAGCTCAGAAGACATACAAAAACATCAACTAGGTGTCAGGTCTTCGCTGTCAAAGGAGTTGAAACTCATTTTGGACCTGATCATATCTGTACGAGAGGGTGGATCTTTCAGCTTTCAGGGAGTTTTAGTTTTAGGTGTAAAACCTGTGCTTTTTTATATTACAAGAGAAACTGACCACTTACATTAATGTGATTATTGCTAACCTTGTAGAGTCACGTAATCAGATAAAAAGATAATATTTAAATGTTTAAAATTTCTCATTATACCCAAGATGTAAGTATTGAATTTCTTAAAAACAGTAGCTTAGAAGATTGAAGTGTTTCATGTATGAATAAAATCCTGTAATTGCTATGATTTTTGGTGAAATGCTCAGCAAGCTAATGAAAATACTGGGTGATATTTAGTATGAGTCTGTTAAAGTAGATTTGACCTGAAGAAGATTTTAGTCTTGAAAACTTGGTTCTTTTCACCCTGTCACAACTTGTGTTACATACTATAGTATAAAGTGTTTGTGTGGCATTTAGAATTTGGAAACCATTTTATTTCTGTATGTAGTAGTTGAATATAATGGAATACAAAAATGTCCCCATACCATTAATTGTTATTTTTTTAACTTTGGAACATATCAGCAGAAGGGATGAAATAGACTTCGTATTTGTCCAGAAAAGTCTTTAATAGCTTTTCCACCACCTGATTGTCTGTAAGCAATACATTTTTATTTTCATGCTCCTGGGAGTCTTTCAGTTTTTTGTTGTTTTTTTTTTTCCTGCAATCTTAAGGGATAGGAAGATGACTGGCTCATTCTGAGAACGTCGTCTTTGATTTTCTTGCAGTGGTGGCCAGAAATTCTGTTTCTGGAGTAGGAAGTAGCATTAGTAAAAAGAGAGCCTGTAAGCATCTAACCCAACAGTAATATATTAGCCCTTTCTCTGTCTCTGCTAGAGAAAAGCTATGTTACAAAACACATTCTGCATTCATGAACCACATTTAAATATAATAAATACTAGTTCTGTGGTTCAGTTCCAATTTTCCTTACCCCTGTAGGCACTGAAAAATATATGAATGACTTTTGGATTCTGTCATGTAGGGGTGCAAAAAGATTCATTTTATTAAACTTTTTTTTTCTAAATGCTGTAAACACACAGTCAGAGTTTTATGTAAAGATGTTGTTTAACTATTCTCAAAAAGTGAGATAGTAATTCAAGGACAGTCACAGGGATTTTCTTCACAAAACTGTGAATACCTGAGAATATGCAAGGAATAGTTTGATTTCCATACCATTAACCAATTTAAACATTAATTCTGTTGGACTGGCTCTCTAGAACCGATGTTACCCAGACAAAGCAATCGCTACACGAGTGAGGAAAATTGAGAAGGAACAGTAGCATGTCTTTGTAAATCCAATCTGAAGAAAGATAAGATCCTGGAAAGGCAAAAATCTATGTTACAGCTTTACTAAGATTGTAATAGCCAATGTTATTTTTCTTGCTGCTTTATTATTTTTGCTGTTTTGGATAGTATGAATCAGTAAAATGAGGAAAGCAGAACACTACCATGGTTTTGAATTCAGCTTCAGGAACTCCTAAGAGTTACAGCAAAATATTCAATTAGCTGGCAAGCCTGTCCTGGAAGAGCAGGGTATCAACTTATTTGGTGTGAATTCTATTTGATTTCCTCTTGTGCTTTGTTGGTCACCGTGGCCCACTCTTCTTAATATTATGCAACTGCAACTACATTTCTCAGAGTGCTAGTTTTTTTATGGCAGAGTAACTATTCAAAGCTGTCATTCTTACCTAAGCCCCAGTCTGCAAAAAGGCATGAGTAGTATTTCATTATGTGAACTTTTGCTTCTTAAAGATAGGATCCTTGGCTGGACTGGAGAAGACCAGTGGGATGTTGAAAGGGATGGTCAGGTTTCTAAAAGTCTGTTTTTCTTATCTACAAGAATACTTGATGAAAAACGTAATCCAACAGTATTCTTCAGAAAGAGAATGTAATCTCATCCCACTAGAGCCTGGGGTCCCTTCAACATGCCCTTTTTATCCAAAATTGCAGAATTCCTCTCCAGCAACACAATGATTATTAATTGATATTCCTATAAATATGGCATGTAAGCTATGTATTTACAGGTATACAAATGAATAATATGTAAATAAATGCCTGAAAATTCTAGTTTAATCTTTTGCATACAGTACAGGCATCTCCCATATGGAAATGTGTTGAATATTAGTCCGTGAACTATTTTTGTAAGATTTGTACTGGAGTTAAAAGGAGAGACACTAATATAATAGTTTGAAAACTGCCAAAATTATTTTTAAAGACATTTTTGTTATAAAGCAGCAGAAAATGAATTTACACATCAGTAGTACTTCAGTTTTACTAACTACTTTTCCTTTTTTTTTTCTCTTACAACAGGGACAGAGAATTGTTCATTAATCAAATGAGATCTGTGGAAACCACTCTTCTTACGGTAAGAATTTGAAGTGTTTTGACTGCATTTGTATTTCCAGTCACATCAAGCTTTTAAAGCTACTTGTTCTCAGGGAAGCAGGGATGCAGAAGTTGAATAGCAACTTCAAGTTTCCACCTCCAGCTTGTTTTGGCTCCAAAAAGTATTCAGATTTAGCAAGTTAAAATACAAGTTTGATATGTATAGATTGCTTTGTTTCAATATTAAACTTATGTAAGTATTAATGTGATGAAATTCGCCTTCCTTTTCTCCATCACTGAGCAATATTTCTGTTGGCTGTTGATCCTGAGTTGCTGAGTTACCTCACTGCTGAGGTATGTGGTTACAAACACGGTGCTCGTAAGATATTTGGCTTTGTTATGCTGTTTTAATCTTTGGTATATAGTATGTGTAACAAGGAAAAGATGGCAAGTATTAACCTATTTGCAAAATCATAAGTAATGTTTTTTTTTAAATCCTTTTTTTGATTTACTTAAGTATTCTCCTTGACTGATACTATTTTACTCTGATATAGTATTCTTTGAAGGTTTGACAAAGCTGAATATGTAATTATTTAGGAGACAGAGTTGTTTTTAACTGTAGCTGTGGTGGCTGGTTGTTTTGTAATTGTTCTTAGTCCAGAGCAACACATAGCAAAAAAAGAGTTTTTATTACCTTGGAGTGTTCATTTCCCTTATCACATCTTGAATTCCCAGCAACGTGGGAATCTATTCTTTATTTTAGTTCCTGTGTCCACCAAAACTGTTGTTAATTTAATTTTCACATACCCTTTTCAAAATTTTCTTTCTCTTAACATTCATGAAAAGTGACAGCGCCTAAACTGCTTTTGTGTTTTAGCTTCACCAAACAGTGCTGAGAGGTGATTTTTGTCTTTTGAGTCTCCATCTCCTTCATGTTTCTCTCAACCTTGGGAAATCTACGTAGTGCAGAAAGTGCTGTGTTCTTTTCACTGATGTATACGTGTAGTGTTCTTGCCTTGACAATTTATTATTCTAAATTAAAAGTTTTTGTTTTGCTTTAGAAGATAGTGCACGATTGCACTGTCTTCTTAAGGACAGTGTACATAATACTGTTCTTCCTAATGCAGTCAATACATTAAAAAAGCCTCATTTTTCTTTTAGAAACTTAGTTACCATGTATGCTTTTCATTTCTTCATGTTTGTTAGAATTGTACATAGTTGTTAGGTCCAAATAACTAATTATTGAATAGCAGAGTAATTTATCTTTTCTGGTTTGTCAACCTAAAGAATGAGGAAAACATAAGAATTACAAATGTCAGGATGATCTTTTCAGCAGGAAATAAAACAATTGATTGTAAATCAGTTGTAATTTGATGTATTATTTCTCCTACAAGAACAAAGGGAAATTATTGATCGTCATTTGGGAAATATTTGAAACTTAGATCTGATATCATAATGGCATCTAATTATGTAACAGTAATGAGCGGGACTTATGTGTAGCCTATCCAACTTGCTTTGTTGTTCTTAAATGTTTTCGTATAGTGAGTGAAAAATGAAAGCATGATGAAGTAGATGAAATACTAGTAAAGGGGTTTTTCTTTTTTTTTTTCCTTATTGAAATTCTGGGAATTGCATTCGTTTTCAAAAGTGAATCAAAAGAAAAAGGATATCAATTTCTGAATCATCTAGAGCTGAGAAAGTATCAGTATTAGCTGCAAATACCTTTATGGGAGTTGGACACTGAACGTTGTGGTATTTCTACATTTATGTATTCATGAGCAAATATCCACAAAATTCCACTGCATCACCTGCAGGATCTGTGTTATCAATGCATAATACTAAATTTTTGCTTATAGAGCTCAGAGGGATTTTACAGACATCTGCAGTAATCTTACTTAGTCTCAGGGTAAGAAGGCATACACCGATATCCATTAAGCAACCTCATTCTTTATTGTACTCTGTCACTGAAAGAGTTGCAGAAGGCAGCAGTGTAGGTGCCAGGTCCAATGTTGGTGGATATACTTGGATGTAATCTTCAGCAAACAAAGCGGAAAGGATCTCTGTGCCTGGTTCTAATACAGCTCTAGACAAGGGATCGTTTACATTATTTACTGCCCCCATGTGACTGGATGGAAAATCTAGTATCATATATTTGACTCAACAAATGCATCTGACACCGGGAGCTGGATTATTTGCACAAGAATTCTCATGATACAATTAAAATTTGAGAATCTTTTTGTTGTTGTTTTATACCACCTAAAAATATTTTTTTTAAGTCAAGTATTAAGTGAATATTTTAACAAATTTACAAAAAACGCCAGGAGCAAACAAGGGACCTAATCATCTGATTCTATTTTGATTCAATTCTGGCTTTGTTAGCGAAAGATGCTGGCTGAATTTTTTGAAAATTTAGGCTTGGAAAAAAAGATTACTGTTTTTTTTTTTTTTGTCCATAGGATCTATTACGTTGCATTAAACTGAAGAACTTTTTAAAATAGAACAGGTTAAACACTGGGTGCTTAGAGAAATTGTGCCTGTAACTGACCCGTTACTTTAAAAAAAAAAAATACAGGACAAATAATAGTTTTAAAAAACAATAACACAAAACTTAAGGAGGCAAAATGCCAATAAATGAAATTTATCGGAGGAGTTCTTCTGGAAGAAATTCTGGAAGAAACTTCTTCTGAAGTTCAACGACAACGATTTTTTTCTTAAAGAGTTCTGACCCAGACAAGAAAAAAAAAAATTAATGCCTTATTTTGTAAATTGTACAGAGGCCTCTTTTAAGTATGGAAAGCAAACAGTTTCTTGAAGATTTCCTCTAAAAATAATGATGAGAAGTGTTTTATTTTTTTTTTAAATATATGTATTATGCTTTTTTGATGAACTATTTCATTGCTAGCATCTTCTGTGCTTACTCCTATCAATATTATTTTTTTCTTAAAGCACAGTCATGAACATTAAATCTGTTAATTGCATACAATTAGAATTTTTAATGTAAGTAGTTAATGACTTACTACTAGTCATGGTTATCCAATCCATAGAAAAAAATAATTTAATGCTATCTGTGCTAAAATCGTTAGCCTTCCCTTTGTTTAGCTTCTGAGTTCGAATGTTATTGGTGGATCCCCACCCAGCCATGTGCTTTCTGTCCCCCTTAATGGGATGGGGAGAGAATGGGGTGAAAAAGCTCGTGGGTTGAGATAAAGGCAGAGAGATTGCTTACTACAGTGGGCAAAAGAGCTGACTTGAGGGAAAGTTAATTTATTAATTAACGCAGATTAAAATAGATTTGGGTAGTGAAAAAGGAAGGTCTGGATAGTGAAAAAAGAAGACAAAATGAATTAAAGCAAGACTGCATCCACCCCCAGCTCCTCTTCTTTTTGAATCTTTAGATTCAACTTCACTATTTCATTCTCAGCTTCTCTATCTTTACTCTGAGGCTGGTGGTTGTGGTAAGCCCTCCATAATTCTCTTCTTCTCCTTCCTTCTCACATTTATTCACTGCTCCAGTGTGAGTTTCCTCTCCATGGTCCACAGTCCTTCAGGGAAACTTGCTCCAGCATGGGCTCATGGTGGGCTGCAGTTCCTTCATCAAACATCCACCAGTGCCAGTGGATGCAGTGTTGACATCTGTTCCTGTGTGGTTTCCCATTGGGCAGCAGGGGGGACGACATCATCTCAGTGAGCTGCTAGGGAATCTGTCCTTGTGTGTAGAACACATGCTCACTGTCCTTCAGTGTCTTTGGTGGCTGCACTGCTGCTTCTTACTCTTTTCCTTGTGCCCCCATATGCTTTTGTTGTTTTTTTTCCACACAGTTTAACTGGGGTTCCAATATTTTGGCTGCTGGGCTCTGCCATTCCCTGCAGTGGTATGAGCCAGATGTGTCTGTATCCAGTATGGGATAGCCCCGAACTCCTCTATGGAGCTCCCCCTCACCTTCCCACTGATGCTGGCTAGGAGCCAGCTATACACAAATACGGTGCTGAACAACCTCCCTTTTCTTCTGCCTCCCTAAGCCCCTCTTCTCTGAACTTCTGCCTGTACAAAACACTGTCTTGGGAAGTCATCCCAGTGAGTCAGCCTGTACAGAGCCCGGGAATTGTTTGTGTTTCTCCTTGTACTCTTAACTGTTAAAAGTCTTGAAGAGCTTTATGAGCTGGCAAAGTTTTCAGTCAGCCTAGAACACCAGATGCTTAGTATTTGGCTTTTTTGTCAGATTAATAAAAAACCATGTCTTCTCAGCTTGGACTTTTACCCGCTATTCTATGTGAGGCTGATGAACTGTGATAATGAGTCAACAAAAAACCTCCCAATTTTTTTTTTTCCCCTATACCTGATAGCAGCCCACTCATTCTGACATTCTGGCACAACTCTGGGATCAAAGCACCTATCCAGTGTGTTTTTTTCATTTTTGCACTTGGTTAGTAAAGTCCTTTTCATTTCACATCTGCAATGCACTTCATTTCTTCTGGTTGAGAAGGTTGTATGGCAGTTGGCTGAACTGCCTCCATGCAGTCATTGTGTTGCATTGCCTCACCACTGCTCCTGGTGCCTGTTCTCTTCTCTGAAATATCCGTAGAACGGTCAGGCATGAGGCTTGGGCCCATCGGTGCAACCAGTTGGGAAAAAAAAAATTAAAAACAAACAAAAAAAAAAGCAGCTTTCTTTATCCAGAAATACAATGTATTAAAAAAAAAAAAAAAGGCAAAGAGTCAGCTGGAAATTAGGTGAGATGTTGGAACAGTTGAAAGTTAGTAACATTAGAACCTTATTTTTGATGTGGTCCGTAGTAATAAAATGCATTTTTTAATGATACTTTTTTTATGGCCTGTACGGAATTAATCTGCAGTAGCCTTAAGTCCATATACAAGTAAATAACATTGGTGATAACATTAGCTGTAAGTAGCATTAGTTGTTAGTTTCAGCAAGAAGACTGCAAATTGATTGAGCTAACGTTGGCTGCCACAATCAGACTTTAATAAATGTTGCCCACTTAGATAATTTTCAGCCCCCTTTTTTTTTTTTCCTGAGTTAAC